TAAGGCTCTCAGAAATCATCCTATCAGATCTTTTGTCAATTATCTAATAACTGGACTTGTTCAGGGGTTTTTAGCCGGCCTTTGTTGGCTTCCTAAGACTTCTCATGTGTGTAAAAATCTGCAATCAGCGTTTAAGGAGCCTAAGGCTGTAGATGAGCTGCTCGAGAAGGAGATTAAGAAAGGGTTCATGATAGGTCCATTTTCCAAACCTCCTTTTAGTCCGTTCAGGGTCAGCCCCATAGGTGTAGCTACTCGCAAATACTCGGGGAAAAAACGTCTGATCATAGATTTGTCCGCTCCTCATAATGGTCCTGTTCTGAGTATTAATAGCCTTATTCCTCTTGCTCCATTTTCTCTGTTCTATGTTACGGTTGACAACGCGATTCAAATGATTAAATCTGCAGGGCAAGGTGCTTGGCTAGGGAAAGCTGACATTACTGATGCTTTTAAAGTGATGCCGCTCCATCCCTCCCAGTGGCATCTTTTTGGCGTCAAGTGGCGCTCCAAGTTTTATTTTGCAGTTAAATTAACCTTCGGATGCCAAAGCAGACCTCGCATATTTGACACACTATCGGAGGCTTTATGCTGGATTTTGTATAATATCTATAAATTACCATTTGTCCTGCATCTCCTAGACGATTTCCTAGTGGTTGATTTTCCGTCTTCACCCCCAGCTCGTTGCATATCAACTGTCAGAAATGTTTTTTCTTCTCTCAGAGTGCCCCTATCCAAAGAAGTCGGTCCCAGTATGCACATCGAGTTTTTAGGTATCATGTTAGACAGTGTACTAATGCAAGCCGCTCTCCCTGAAGAGAAATTGTGTCGCATTAGGGATATTTTAAAATCATTCTCCTCAGCTGCTTCAGTTTCAAAAAGGGATCTTCTCTCTCTGTTGGGCCATCTTAATTTTGCTATGAGAATTATCCCTCAAAGGCATGCGTTTGTGTCCCGATTGCTTGACCTGTCAAAAAAGGTTAAAAATCTTCAGGATATGATAATATTAGATCAAGGGTGCCTGTCTGACTTTCGGTTTTGGTCCTTCTTTTTAGATCAGTGGAACGGCATTTCTTTTTTTTATAAATACGCATCAGAAACAGCCGCTTCGATTAAGTTCTACACAGATGCCGCTCCTTCTGTCGGTTTTGGGGGGTTCTTCAAGGGGGAATGGTTTTCTGCAGCTTGGTCTGAGGAAATGCTCAATTTAATGTCAGACTGCAAATCAACAGCATTATTTGAACTGTACCCAATTGTTGTGGCTTCCTTATTGTGGGGCAGCAAATGGTCTCGGAAACAGTTTGTAGTCTTGTGTGATAATGAAGCTACTGTTAACATGATTAACAAAGGGCGCTCTAAGACGCCCACAATTAACCGTTTTCTCAGACGCCTCACCTGGACATGCGTGACAGGTAATTTTTTAATGCGCACTGTCTATATTCCTGGTCATGACAACAGTGTAGCTGATGCTCTCTCTCGTTTTAAATTTCAAAAATTCAAAACCCTGTGTCCAAACGCCAAGCCCAGTGGCCTGCCCTGCCCTCCGTTCTCTCAAGTCATTCTAGATTAGGATGCGAAGGCCCTCTGCTCTCTCTGCTAAATTCTGCTGCCAAATACATGAGGAAAGGTCTATCAAAGAACACATCAAAAACTTATGATTCTGCTTGGTGGTTTTTCTCTTCTTTCTGTGCTCATTTTGGTTGCCCACCCTTGCCAGTCAATATTCCCTTCGTTTGCGCATTTATAGTCCACTCTTTTGAGTCCCGTAAGTTGCAGCCTCTCTCCATTAAAGCCATGATAGCTGGCATTCAGTTTCATCTTCGTTGTCAAGATCCTTCAGTCTGTAGCCTGTTAACGCATCCCAGCATTCGCCTGCTTCTCAACGGCCTCAAAAAAGAGCAACCTCCAGGCAATGATAAACGCTTACCTCTCACTATCTCCTTGGTGCACAGGATGATTTCAAAGTTAAGATCCGGGCTGTTCACTCCTGGTGTTAACAAAATGTTGGAAGCTGTTCTTTTAATGGCGTTTTATTTTTTCATGAGGCGTGGGGAGTTCACCACTCGGTCTCTTTCTTTGAACCCTCTGCACGACCTCTGTTTTTCTGATTTAATATTAGAATCAAGGAACGCCTGTGGTAATTGCAAAAATTAATTCTGCTTTCTGTCCATTCGCCTCCATGCTGAGCTACCTGAAAACCCGACCTGCTCCTGGTCCAAGTGACCCGCTTTTCACCATTGATGGCAGCAAGCCCATGACCAGATCTTGGTTTTCCGAAAGGCTGCGTGAACTCTGCTTGAGTTGTGGGCTGTCTCCAGCGGCGTACACTGCTCACTCCCTCCGAATTGGGGCAGCTACAACTGCAGCACTGCTCGTACCCACGCCCTCCCTTAAGTCTCTGGGCCGATGGTCTTCGGCTGCTTACGTCAGATATATTCGCTTCAACAAAAATGAAATTCTGCAAGCTCAAAAAATCATGAGTGCTCATGCCCTGTAATGCGGCTTCAATAAATGTTCAGCTGCACATTACAGTTGTATCTGGTGGATTGTTGGGAAGGGAGTTTGCTGCTATTTATCCTCTTAGGCTTAAATAGACTGACAGGGCTGATTCTATGGTAGATGCTCCACCATTCTCATAATTGGGCAGCTTCAGGCTCTGCATCTCAAGCTGTTGGGGGTCTTGCCGTTTTGGGGGTCTGCTATTCATTCCCTGTAATGTCTGTCATGCAGATCATTTTCCGGGAATGAATAAATTGAGATAGAGCCAGACGCCAATCTTGCTTCAGCCATGCTAAAACTATTCATGCTCTGCTTCAGTATGCAAATATTTATGCTCAATAAAAATGTTAAATTCAATTCAGAGTTGGTAACAGAGCTCAGCTGTTTATTTAGTCTAGCAATATCTCTGGACTATAGTAGCTGCAATGGACGACTTTGAACGCGATTTTGAAGAGTTTCTTGTAGCGGACACAGACCCAGAGCCATACCTGTTTGAGCCGGAGCATACAGATGAGGAACTCCATGTGTTTGATGCTGAGTGGGCGATAAGAGAGGCTGAATGCACAGAATGGGATTCGGTGCTACTGCTACCATCGTTGGGAGATATATCACCAGGAGGAAAAGCGCCGCAGAGAGTGCATCACAAGGAGTGAAGTTGCGTCTTCTTTTCCTCGCAGATGACGGTTCGGGTTCATTCTCTCCTGTTGCGTGGTAAGTGTGGTCCATTCGCAAACTTTATAACTAAAAAAACTTTTCACTACTCTCTAT